GCTTTAGGGTTGGCCACAGGAATCTTAGAGAGGGAGACACTGCTGGACTTGGATATGGATTGCATGCATGAAGTACGGAATGCGAGCTTGTTTGGAAGTACTAGAAGCGGGGCTGCAGGCAAGGAAGAATCAACAAGCTGTAAGCCAATTCGGAACCCCTGACCCAGTTGAGCCATGCAGCAGCAATCTTTGTTCCTCTTAAGCTTTTGTTTGAATAAAAGCCCAGCCGGACCAAACAACAGGTGCCCCTGCTCCTTTGCATCCTGCCTTGGCAACGCCAGAGGTCGCCTCGCTGGGACCTTCCCTCATGCCGCACCTCGCCATAGCTGACGAACCTGAGTTGACATCGGCAAAGGGCCCGAGACATTCGAGGACCGCATCTGGTAAGAGGCGGACTCTGGCAAGTCGTTGATTAGCTATTTTGGATCGGACCAGGCTTCGTGGTCCTTGCCCAAAGCCGCGAGGACGAGTTGCTCTCTGAAAGCCACTGCGCGTCGGTCAAAACATGCTGGCCGCTGGCAGCTGGGTGCTCGTTGGTTTATGCTGGGTGGCTGGCTGGTTGCTAGCTGGTTGGCTGGCTGGCTCTTTGCTTGTGGCCCTCGGACTGCCAATGATTTGTCACTGCTTTGAAAGCCTCGCCTTTTTTGCCAAGGAACTGGGTGAAGGGATTCTTTATAGGTGCTGCATTCGCAAGTCTGATCAGGACTTGTTAAGGGTCACATGTTCCAGCTCACTCCCTACGGATGGCTTCGACGTGTGACCTAGTTTTGTTTGCCCCGACCTTTTTTTTGTTCCACTGGCTTGGCCTTCCAGCAGGCTGAGCAACTAGCTCTGCCGGCTCCAGTTCCAGAGGAGCCTCAGGCAGGAGTCCAGTGTGGGACGCTTACTGGGGGATACAGCGTGCTTTTGAAAGTGACATCATTCCTCAAGAGGTGGTGGGGCGTTAGGTTGCAAGTCGGGCGTATGGTGCCGGGACCCTTTGTTGCGGACCTTCGGCCTGCTGCAATGTGGTCATCTGTATGGGAGGCAGCTTTTGATATGGGCTTGTCTCGAAATAGCGGAACCCCCAAAATGTGAGATTTCCTTTCTGTTTCGCTCCCAATCCATCCAAGCAGGGAGCCCTCAATAGAGACACGCCCATATGGGCGGGCTGCAATACAGCATGCCTCCTTGCAGAGCTTTGCAGGCGCCGGCGGGTGCCAAGAAGAAAGTGAAGAAGCGCACCAAAAAGGCCAGAGTCGCCAAGGAGCAGGTGGGATTCATGCAGCTTGGGCATCCGGCACATGCTTTTGGTCTAGCTTGACTTTGGTACTGCACGCATGTCTGGCCAGCAGTGCATTAATGTCAAGAGTCTTAATCAAGACCGGTAGCGGAATCAGGCTGTGAGACTAGCACCCACGCAAGCCCATTTGCTCCAGATCTAAAATCTATGCAGACCCTTGCATGCACTAGGGGCGCCAAGCAATCCTGGAATGCTGGACTTCCTGATTTCGACATCACTCAGCGAGCCGTGCCAATCAGCTGCTATGTGCTGGCTTGAAGATACCAAGTTCCCCGCCTTCTTGTTTTGTTTCACAACTTTTGAGCTCACTTGGTCCCAACTGCATACTCAAAGGGGCAGGGTACTTAGCAAAAACAGGGTTTAGTAAGCCTGGTTGTCGCCCACTTACCATGTTTACAATAAGTCTCTTGATTGGGTTATAACCAGTCTTACTAGCCACTTTCTTAGTACCCTGCCTCTTTAAATATCGCTTCCTGTCTTGGAGCCTCCACGCCAGGCAGCTTCCTGAGACTGGCACCACCCTTTTCGCGAGCGAAAAGCCGCCGCGGAGAAAAGGAAGAATGTGGAGATTCACCCCCCCCCCCGAACGGGGCCAAGTGGCGCGGAAAGTCTTTGTCCGAATTTGACAACGTCTGGGCTCATGTTCATAGAGCCACTGAATGACCCGGCGAAGGACTGCTAGCAAGGGCTTGCGCAGAACCAAGCTAGGACTTTGGCCTTTCAAGCGTGTGTTCCGTGAGAGTAGCAGCTATTGAATTGCATGCCCCTGGCTGGGCAAACAAAGCCAACATTTGCAGGTTAGCTTGCTCAAAGACAATGCTGGGAAGGAGGAGGGCTTTCTTGCAGCCAGAGTGAAGGCTTTTGCGCTTTTCTGTGTTCCAATTGGCTCAGCTTGTGAGGAAAAGTTGCGTTTAAAGGGGCTAGCGACTGGTCCTTTAAAGCAGCCGGAGCCCCGAAAATGAATGCCAGAGGCTCCTCCGCTTCCAAGCCCGCTCAGCATTTGGGATTGGGGCAGGCTGGAGCCTGGCGGATTTAGTTCAGCTGCACATGCACATGGGGCGGCCTTGCGTTGAACCAGGGTTAGTAAAAAAGAAAGAACAGGGCTAGCAAAAACAACACACCCCAATCCTTCGCCGGCCTTCGCTTTCCTAGTCTGTGACTCACAGCTTGCCCTCGCAGGTTGAGGCAAATTACGACGCTTGCATCAAGGAGCTTCAG